ACGACTAAATAAGTAGACTGATGGATAATTAGCAGCCAATTAGCACACAAAATTCAACAAACAGAAACATGCTAATTTCTAGGGAATCTGTCTCTGATGTTGGTCAAGGGATAAATTCAGGCTGCAACATGAGGAATAACTCTTCTGCTCTCTTTCGAGAAAATAACAGGATCTTTTAAATCAGAGCAAGAAAATGGATCTTAATTTAACAATGTACCTGAAAGATGGCACCTCTATAGTTCAGCACTCTTTCAGTGCAATGCTACAGTGTGCCTTGATTTGGGCTCAGGTTCTTGGATCAATTAGATACAAACTTTGCTTGACATTAGAAGTGGCAGATGGAATTCAAGCCTGAAAAGTGTGAAATGATTCATTTTGGAAGGTTGAATTTGAATGCAGAATACAGGGTTAATGGCAGGATTCTCGGCAGTGTGGAGGAACAGAGGGATCTTGGGGTCCACGTCCATAGATCCCTCACGTTGATAGGGTTGTAAAGAAGGCATATGGTGTGTTGGCTTTCATTGGCAGGGGAATTGAGTTTAAGAGCCGCGGGGATACGCTGCAGCTCTATAAAACTCTGGTTACATCACACTTGGAATATTGTGTTCAGTTCTGGTCACCTCATTATAGGAAAGATGTGGAAGCTTTAGAGAGGGTGCAGAGGAGATTTACCAGGATGCTGCCTGAACTGGAGGACGGGTCTTATGAGGAAAGGTTGAGGGAGCTAGGGCTTTTCTCATTGGAGCGAAGAAGGATGAGAGGTGACTTGATAGAGGTGTACAAGATGATGAGAGGCATTGATCGAGTGGATACTCAGACTTTTTCCCAGGGCAGAAATGACTGTTACGAGAGGGCATAATTTTAAGGTGATTGGAGGAAGGTATAGGGGAGATGTCAGAGGTAGGTTCTTCACACAGAAAGTGGTGGGCGTGTGGAATGCGCTGCCGACAGTGGTAGTGGAGTCAGATAGTTTAGAGACTTTTAAGGGACTCTTGGATAGGCACATGGAAGATAGTAAAATGTAGGGTATGCAGAGTAGATTGACCTTAGTAGGATAATAGGTCGGCACAACATTGAGCCAAAGAGCCTGTACTGTTCTATGTTTCTATGTTCTATATTAGGAGACAGAGGGTAGTGTTACAGGTTTGTTTTCAGACTGGTGGCCTGTGACCAGCGGTGCTCTGCAACGATCAGTGCTGGGTCCACTGTTGGTCATCATTAATTTGAACGATTTGGATGAGAATATAGGAGGCATGATTAGTAAGTTTGTGGATGACAACAAAATGGTGGTATAATGGACAATGAAGAAGCTTATCTAAGAGTACAGTGGGTACTTGATCAACTGGGTCAGTGGGCCAGGAATGGCAGATGGAGTTCAATGTAAATAAATGCGAGGTGTTGCATTTTGGCATGACAAACCAGGGAAGGATTTACACAGTTAACGGTATGGCCCTGGGGAGTATGGTCAAACGGAGATCTACCAGTACAGGTACACAGTTTCTTGAAAGTGCTGTTACAGGCAGACAGGTGGTGTTTGGCACGCTTGCCTTTATCAAAGGATTGAGTACAGGAGTTAGAATGTCATGTTATGGCTGCACAAGACATTGGTAAGGCCACATTTGGAGTACTGTGTACAATTCTGGTTGCACTGCTAAAGAAGGATATTATAAAACTGGAAAATGGTGCAAAAAAAAAACAAAAAAAAATTACAAGATTGCTACTGAGAATGGAAGATTTGAGTTATAAGGAGATGCTGGACAGTCTGGGGCTTTTTTCGCTTAGTGCTTAAGAGGCTGACGTTTATAAAATCACGAGGGTAGGTGAGTCCAAAATGAGAGGGCACAGGTTTAAAGTGAAACGGGAAAAGATTTAAAAGGGACCTGAGGGACAACTTTCTCCTAAAGAGAGGGTAGTGTGTATATGAACAAACTGCCAGAAGAAGTGGTTGAGGCGGATACAATTACAACATAAAGACATTTGGACAGTTACACAGATAGGAAAGTTATCAAGGGATATTGGCCCAACACAGGCAAATGGGATTAGTTCAGTTGAGGAAATCTGGTTGGCAAGGACGAGTTGGGCTGAAGAGTCCGATTCTGTGCTGTATGACTCTATGACACCTGCAGTGGAACTGGAACCTAGAAATCTTGTGATTTGAAAGAATGCTATCAACTTAAGCAGTATCTGAAGTTAGGCGGCATTCCTAACATCCTAGATTTACATTTCAACTCATGTTGATCTAAAGTGAAATTATAAAATCTCAAAGACATTCTTATACTAAGCTAGAAGGTCACATTGTTTGAGAAATACTAGTAATATCATTCTTGACACAGTCCACCTTTAGTCTTGAGCCTGAGGTTTTGAGTTACACATCATAACAATAATCTCATGCAATATGTTAACTTGTGTGAGTCATCTCAACTCTACTTAAAGGGACTGTTTGAAGTGTATGATCAGAAAGCTTTGCACAAGCAGCTGGAAGAGAGCATATCCGGTGGGAGACAGCCAGAGCAATTGTGTGTTTCTCGGAATTTGGTGCAGCAGGAAAGAGGTGCTTTTTGTTTTTTTGTCTTATTATTTATCAGGGTCATAGTCTATAGTAACATGGATGAGGGAATATGGGCCCTAAAATAATTGATTTTATCTGATATTAAGCATCTTGCAAAACGTTTAAAAGGACTAAGTCATGGCAGGAGAGATCAAAGCTGTAGTGTGCGCTTCCTGATTTATGTGGAAAGCCAGGAACACTTCCCAGTACCTGGGGCCAACACATGTGCAGAAGTGTCTGAGCTGCAGTCTTAGAAGCCCGGGATGTGGGAAGGAGGCAGAGTGTGTTGTGGGTAGCATATACACAGACCACACCATAGGCTAAGACTCTAAGCAGGAAAGGCATGAGAGACCACCAGTCAGAACAGGAGTTCCCTGTGGCTATTACCTTGTAAAACGGATGTGCTGTTTTGGACGGCTGTGGGCGGGGGGGGGGGGGGGGGCTGTGTGGAGGTGGAGGTGGTTAGTCTCAGGGGAAAGCAGCAACAGCCACATTTATTGTGACATGGGTGGCTCTGCTGCACAGGGAGGAGTCAAAAGTATGGGAATGTAATTGTTCACAGGGATTCAATTGTAAGGGGTATAGACAGGTGTTTGTGTTGTCACAATGAGACTCCAGGATGGCAGGTTGCCTCCCTGGTGCGACGGTCAAGATGTCTCAAAGTGGCTTCTGGGACAGGGGAGGATGAACAGCTAGGGGCAACAAAAAAAAAATAGGTTAAAAGAAGAGACAATGTCCTAAAAAAGCAGAATGTGGAGTTTGGAAGCAAGCTGAAAAGTAGGGCCTCAAAAAGATAGTAATCCTGAGATCACGATCAGTGTCATTTGCTAGTCAGAATAGAAATAGCAGGATATATCCAGTTAACATGGTGGTGAGACACTGAAACATCATCACACAAGGTTACAGAGTTTCTTGAATGCAGTAGAGGTTTATTACACAAAGGGATAAATAGAAAACAAATTGAATGGAAAGCAAAACAGTTTCAACCGCTCCCTGACACTAGCAGTTACAAAGTCTCAAATCCTGAGAAATCACTCCTGTACATTAGGTCTTTTAAGTTTTACTTAACTGATCAAATCCACTTTCACTCCTGTGAACTTTGGAGTCATCTTATGTCAATATTGTCTACACAGAGCTTAAATGACAGCTTTTAAAATCATGTAAATTCCTAACCAGAACTGTTGGTATGGAATTTTCATAATTGGAAGTTTTCTACTTGTGGTAGATTTCATTCTGGGATCTGACATGTCCAGTGGTAGCATCAGCTAGGATCATACACAATAGAAAAGGGTGAGTAAAGTTATACAAAAAAAAAGTATGAATTTTGTGTGTGTCAAGGTTGTGACAAAACGTCTAACATCACCATCGTTTCCAGTAAATCCTTACAACTATTATGATTTCTGAAGAAATAGCAACCACGCTTCTGGCAACATCCTAAACAGCAGAAAGTTGATGGAGAAGATTGTTCATTTTGTTCAGATGGTCAACAAGCTTTTCTGCATTCTTTCAGGAATGTCAAATGTCCTTTTGCTTCTATAATTACTTTTAATATAAATGCTTCCAATGTTTAAATAATTGAATTAACAGGTGAGAAAAGAACATTTGGAGATTTTACATTAATATAATTTAACTAATGATCTGAAATTAGTATGCAGTTGAAATAGAATAGGTAAGTGAGATTGTGGTTTTAACACTAGCATCTTTTTATTAATACCTCTTAATATGGTAATACCTCTATTCAGATGTGTTTGTCTTTTTATTCTGCACAATGTTTTCAAGAGGCGCACATTTTAAAATGCAAGGCCATGCCAGAGGGGATCAACAATACCAAAATACTACAGAGTATCTCACAAACCGATATATCATTGTTACAAAGCATGATGCCCATGTGGTACAACATTCTCTGTAGCAATATGATGGAATCTCTTAGACTTGAAGGGAAAATTGGAACAGGAGGCCATTCAGACTCTTGAACCTGCACTTCCATTTAATTATACTGGAGATAATCTGTAAGCATTAATCTGCCTTAGCTCTATATATCCCTTTGTACTTCTCCCAAATTTAAACCCATCCTTTTCAGTCTTCAACACTGAATACTCACGTTTGAGGGATGTGTTATTTCAGATTTTTATTCTCTTTGTGGGAAAAAAAATACTTTGCAATTTCACTCTCAAACGGCTTAGAACTAATTTGACAAATATATCTATCTCTTTGTTCTTGATGTGTCCCAAGTTTTTCTGAGTCAAATCTTATCCAATTATTTTAACATTATGAACAGCATATCAGGATAATCCCCCAAACAGAGAGAATGCAACCAAAATGTATTCTAGCTATCCTCATAATTCAACACAATGAGACAAGTATGATTTTAGTTACTTAGTTTTCAAGGTCAGTATATCTGATGAAATTGAACTCAGTACTTTCAGCGAGGGTCAAGCAAACAAAAGCTTACTTGTAAAGGTCAGGCTGAGGTTGTTCGCATTCAATGGTAGCACTCAAAGAATCAACTTCCATCTCTGTACGGAATGCACTCATGTCCGGCACAGTAAAGTAGGTCTTGTGAGAATGAAAACATATTAGCATGACTATTTACAGTTAACTTAAACTCACGATGTCTGACTACAGGTTATAGATCACAGAACAACACAGCACACGAATGGGCTCTTCTGCCCATGACATTGTGCCAAACATAACACCAAATTAAATTAATCCCTTCTGCCAGTCCTTGGTCCAAATCTCTATGCTCCTTGCGTATTCATGTGATTATCTAAAAGTCTCTTAATCACCCCTATTGTATCTGCCTCCACCATTAACCCTGGCAGTGCGTTCTAGACACCTACTATTCTGTAAAAAAAAACTTGTCCCTCACATCTTCTTTGGACTTTTCCCCCCTCACCTTAAATGCATGCCCCCTAGTATTTGACATTTCAACTCTGCGAAAAAGATTCTGACCGTCAACCTGATCTATGCATTGCAATTTTATAGATTTCTATCAAGTCTCCCCTCAGCCTCCGCTCTCCAGAGAAAACAACGCGAGTTTTTCTAGTCTCTCTTAATGGCTCATACCCTCTAATCCAGGCAGCACCCCGGTAAACCTCTTCTGTACTCTCTCCGAAGCCTCCACATCCTTCCTGTAATGGGACAGCCAGCATTGAACACATTACTCTAAATGTGGCCTAACCAACGTCTTATAAAGCTGCAACATGACATCCTGACTCTGGTATTCAGTTCCACAACCAGTAAAGGCAAGCATGCCATAAGCCTTCTTTACCACCCTATCTACTTGCGTGGCTACTTTCAGAGAGCTATGGACTTGAACCCCAAGATCCCTCTGTACATCAAGCTGTTCAGGGTGCTGCCATTAACTGTATATTTTTCCTTAACATGTTATCTCCCAAAATGTAGCACCTCTCAATTATCCAGATTAAACTCCATCTGCCATTTCTCCTCCACATCTGCAACTGATCTATATCCCATTGTATCCTTTGACAACCTTTTACACTATCCTACACTAGTTGGCAGCACAGTGGCTCAGTGATTAGCACTGCTACCTCACAGCGCCAGGGACCCGGGTTCGATTCCTCCCTTGGGTAACTGTCTGTGTGGAGTTTGCACATTCTCCCAGTGCCTGCATGAGTTTCCTCCCACAGTACAAAGATGTGCAGGGTAGGTGAATTGGCCATGCTAAATTGCCCATAGTGCCAAGGGATGGTTAGGTGTGTTAGATATGGGAAATCAGGGGTAGAAGAATGGGTCTGGGTACGATGCTCTTCAGAACACCACAGAACCTTCAGCCTGAAAAACATACTTCCGCCACCACCTGCCTTCTATGGGCAATTCTGAATCCATGTGGCCAAGTCACTCTGCATCCCATGCATCTTAATCTTCTGGATGAGCCTACCACGAGGGATCTTGTCAAAAGCCTTACTAAAATCCATGTAAATGGCATCAACTGCTCTATTCTCATCAATCACCTTTGTTACCTCCTTGAAAAATTCATTCAAGTTCATAAGACACAACCTGACTCACACAAAGCTGTGCTGACTGTCCCTAAGTAGGACATGCTTTTCCAAAAGCCTGTGAATTCTATCCTTAAAGATTTGCTCCAATAGTTTCCCAATCACTGATGTGAGACACTGGTCTGCAGTGTCCTGGATTATCCCTATTTCCCTTCTTGAACAGAGGAACAACATTAGCTACTGCCCAGTCCTCGGGACCTCACCAGTGGCCAGCGAGAATACAAGGAGCTTGCTCAAGGCCCCAGAGATTTCCTTTCTTGCCTCTCAATAACCTGGGATGGATACCATCAGGCCCTAGAGACATATCCACCTTAATGCTCTTCAAGACACCCAACACCACTTCTGTCTTAATCTCAAAATACCCCAGCATATTAGCATGCTCCACATAAATCTCACTATTCTCTAGCTCCTTCTCCTGGGTGGATACCAACGCAAAGTACACATTTAAGATCTCATTCACATCCTCTGCTTCCAAGCAGAAGTCTCCTCCTTCTCTCTACTTATCCTCTTGTTTTTAAATGTATGTATAGAATACCTTGGGATTCTTTTTAACCCTACTTCCAAGGTCATTTCATGGCCCCTTCTTGCTCTCCTAATTTCCTGCTTGATATTAGAATAAATCCAACTTTCATGGGAAGAAATGTCAAAATAGATACAAAGCCAAATTATTAATAACTAAAAGTTAGATATGTGGCAATAAACAAGTTGATAACTAAGTAGTAAATACAAATATAATTTAAGTTTAAAAATTGAGAGCTGAAAGATGGTAAGAAATCAAAGTAATTCCAGAAAAGACATACAATTAGGAGATATGTTTTATAGGTGGGAAAAAGGAGCTGAAGTTACTATTGGATCATGGAAATGCAGCTTGGGCTTTGACTCATCTTGCCTGACAGGTGTAACAATATCAAGATTGGTAATCAGAGCGTAAGCGGAGAAAAATTAACATTAAAAGGTCAAAAAGGTAACAACTTCAACTTGCGTTCAAAGTACATTCCACACTGCAATATGTCACAGCTGCTTGAATAGATTGTTGATATAGGTCAGAACTTATTGGGCAGTGTAGTATTTGGTAGCAGTGGGACTAGGATTGTTAGAACTGATGAAAAGATTTTGTTAAAATGAGGACAAGGTACACAATGATGTGGCTCCTTTAAATCCTATTCATGCCTGGACAACAGTACATGGCATGTTGTTCAGTGGGAGGGCAGATCGGAATGTTTTTATCATTACCTTAAATCAGAACACTCATTACAGTTGAGGCAGAGCGAGACAAAGCAGCAAAAGGTCTGGAACTTATTTATAGTTAAACATGTTATTGATTGTGAACAGAAGTAATCTTTATCCAAGACAACAAGGTGCAGGGCTGGATGAACACAGCAGGCCAAGCAGCATCATAGGAGCAGAGAGGCTAAAGCAAAGAATCTTTATCCAACTTTAAATTACTTACGTGAATGTACAATCTCAATTTATAAATTTCTTATCAATTTCTGGCACAGAGTCAGGGGCTCATCATAATAATCATTCAGTTGCACACAATATGAAATGCCTGCCTAAATCAAGGATTTAGAAACTAAGTATTTTTAAAAATCTGCCAGATTCTCTATATTTATTTCATAGCTGCAATCAGACTGCATATATTTTTTCCAAGCATTTTATTTACTTTACAAGCAGAAAATGAAGCTCAGAATTTGAGCCATAAGCTACCAATTCACCTTAAATATGTATATTTTTAAAAAATCAGTGGTTTATTTTCCTTTGAGGTATTGTTTGCTGACAAAACAAGAAAATAGAGTAATATAATGTTACAAATTTATTTCTTTTGATGAAGTCAAAGAATGATAAATTATTTTGTTGGGTATATTTGGGATGCATTGCACTCAAGTTACAGCAATGCTGCAAGTGACTTAACATCCGTTACACATTACACAACAGATTTGGAGGGATTATTGAGCTTCGATACAGTGGGTCTAATTGTGTGCTTTTACCTTCTGACTCGATTCCCCATCTAAACTAGCAGTAGTGACATAGCAGGTGCCATCTTCCCTGCTCGAGAATAGAAGGATGAGATCACATGGGAATGTTTCATCTTCTTTCACACACACAATATCTCCAACCTAAAAGGAAACAAAAAAAAAAGCTCCATCAGTTTCTCTTTGTTATTCTCAGCCAATTTGCTGGGTCATCACTTTAAGACCATGGCACATTACTCTTGGACAATACAATAAAAGGGAACATTGATCTTGAGGAGTCCATTTGGTTCTCTGAGCTATTTTCATACTGTTGCTGGTCACAAATCTTCAGTTTACATGGCATTGCCAAAAATACATTTTGCCTAAAGCTACAAGTATTGATTTGACTAATTCCTAATTTAATAGGAAAGGAAAAAGAAATCATTCAATCTAGTAAGTAACATACATGGGATAACAAGGCGTAGAGCTGGATGAACACAGCAGGCCAAGCAGCATCAGAGGAGCAGAAAGGCTGACGTTTCCGGCCTAAACCCTTCATCAGAAATGGGGGAGGGGAAGGGGGTTATGAAATAAATAGGGAGAGAGGGGGAGGTGGATAGAAGATGGATAGAGGAGAAGATAGGTGGAGAGGAAACAGACAGGTCAAAGAGGCGGGGATGGAGCCAGTAAAGGTGAGTGTAGGTGGGGAGGTAGGGAGGAGATAGGTCAGTCCAGGGAGGATGGACAGGTCAAGGGGGGTGGGATGAGGTTAGTAGGTAGGAGATGGGGGTGCGGCTTGAGTTGGGAGGAGGGGATAGGTGGGAGGAAGAACAGGTTAGGGAGGCGGGGATGAGTTGGGCTGGTTTTGGGATGCGGTGGGGGAGGGGAGATTTTGGAGCTTGTGAAATCCACATTGATACCATTGGGCTGCAGGGTTCCCAAGTGGAATACGAGTTGCTGTTCCTGCAACCTTCAGGTGGCATCGTTGTGGCACTGCAGGAGGCCCAGGATGGACATGTCGTCTGAGGAATGGGAGGAGTTGAAATGGTTCGTGACTGGGAGGTGCAGTTGTTTATTGCGAACTGAGCATAGGTGTTCTGCAAAGCGGTCCCCAAGCCTCCGCCTGGTTTCCCAGATGTAGAGGAGTCCACAACAGGTACAGCGGATGCAGTATACCACATTGGCAGATGTGCAGGTGAACATCTGCTTGATGTGGAAAGTCTTCTTGGGGCCTGGGATGGGGGTGAGGGAGGTGTTGTGGGGGCAGGTGTAGCATTTCCTGCGGTTGCAGGGAAAAGTGCCGGGTGTGGTGGGACTGGAGGGGAGTGTGGAGCGGACAAGGGAGTCACCCACCCTTAAAATGTCCTTGGTGGGAGAGGGACAAGCTGCCTGCTTGAATGGCTGCAGAGCATGTGGTATAGGAACACATATCTGCACTTAGGGATGGAGCTTCAAGATTTTGTCCCAGTGAAACTGAAGTAAAAACAATACAGTTCCAAGTCAAGATGGCATCTGGTTTAGAGGGGAAATTGAAGGTGGTGATAGACCCTTGCATCTTCTGCCCTTGCCCTTCTAGATATTAGAGATCACGGGTTTGTAAGGTGTAGTTCAAGGGGCCTCTAAGTTATTACAGTGCATCCTTTAGATGATGTTAGAATATCACCACTGAGCAGTCAAGGTGCTAGATGATTTGTCAATGCATAGTGATCAAGCTTTGTGGGGGTTGTCGGAACTGCACTCATGCAGGCAAGTGGAAAACGTTCCATCGCATTCCTGCCTTACAGATGGACAGGTTCTGAGGAGTCAGGTGGGGAGTTACTCCTCGCACAATTCTCAGCCTCTGACCTGCTCTTGTAGCCACAGTATAAATACGACCAGTGAGTTCAGTTTCCAGTTAACATTAACTCCAAGGTGCTGATAATGCCACTGATTGTCAAAAGATGAGGTTTGGATTCTGTCATATTGCCTGGTACTTCTGAGGTGCAAGTGTCGCTTATCATTTATAAACCACACCCAGATTTTGTACAACAAGGTGCAGGGCTGGATGAACACAGCAGGCCAAGCAGCATCATAGGAGCAGAGAGGCTGAC